CACATACTAGTCCCATTTTCTTGTCGTGACTATTTTCTGGATATTTTGTGGCTATTTTTGCCTTGACACAATACGTTTGCGGCTGAGTCGTGGCTATTAACAAGTTTTGTTGTAGTGTCTGCACAACAAAGAAGAGAAAAGTTGGAAAATACATATGATGCGGATGAAGAATGTGAAGATGGATCAGACACAGATAGTGGTGACATACAAACATACACAAGTTTTCCAGACACAAGAAGAAGACGAAGTGTAACGTGTTACAGTCGAGGATAACACACACATACGCAGAGGCCAACAACAAAGTAAATTGAATGCGCAATCAAGCGTTAGATGTAGTGGCAGTGGGAGTGGATCACGCGGAAGTCATATGACTGGGAGTGGATCACGAGGAGGGCGGCAAAGGCAATCCTTTGAATCAACCATACAAGACACTATTTCTGGATATACAGAGTTTCAACGACAAAGTTTACAACAACTTCGTCCACGTGCTTTTGATCAAGATAATTATGACGAATGAAAAAAAGGCAGAAGAAATATTTCTTGCTCTCTACATTCCGAAGGAAAGATTTAGTGGACTTGCCTTGATGCACTTAAAGAGTTAGTATTTTGGCGTAAGTATTTCCTTGATATAGCTGAAAGCCATGATGAAGATAAACTTCAATTGTTAGAAGCAATGACTGGTGTTTCACGGAACAATGAAGATGTTCCTAAATAATTAGGTCAATGTCAATCGTTTGGCAGTTCATCCTCCGGCTTTCAACAGTGGGGTACACCGCCAAATGCGCAACAATAGAGTACACCACCAAATGTTCAACAGTGGGGAATACCAACAAATGTTAAACAGTGGGGAACACCACAAAATACTCAACAATGGGGCACACCACCAAATGTTCAACAATGAGATACACCACCAAATGTTCAACAATGGGGTACACCACCAAATACTCAACGATGGACTACACCACCAAATCGTCAACAATGGGGTACACAACCAAATGCTCAGGAAAAGAATACACCCCAAATGCTTCATAGTGGGGTACGTCACCAAATGCTTCACAATCGGACACACCACTAAATACTTCACAATAGGGGCTTTCACCAAATACTTCACAATAGGGGCTTTCACCAAATACTTCAGGTGGAGGATTTCATCAAATTTTCAAAAAGGCGGACCATCGAGGATGAATCCAACAAACGTTGAATATGGATTCTCAGTTGGAAGCGAAGAAGAAAGTGTGAGAAATAGGCAACAAGAAAATAATGCAGCAGTTGAAACTCTACATACAACTAGACCAGGAGTTTTATTCAACATATGGAAACCTCTATAAATATAAATGAAAGTCACCAAAATCACTTAGAAGATGAATATTAATTTTCTGATAGTTGTGTTTATGTATTTTAGCTTTTGTTGTAAAATATTGATATATTTTTAATCTTTCATCATTTTATTTGGTTAATATAGTTTATATTTATAGATGATTTATTTTATTTCATGTTTAAAATTTCAGGTTTTTCGTATATGTCAATTACGAGTACGAGGCATATATAACCTAAGTTACGAAGAGAGAATTGAAATGTGAAATTTTAAAAATGAGCATTTTACAGAATTAATAATCAATTCATCATTGACTTATTATCAACACTATTTTAAAAGGGGACCAGTGTGAACCGATAGAGGTTTAGGATGGAGAAATATTTGGCGATGGATACAAGATGATGTTGCTTGTCTTCAGTTAGTACGAATGACATTGCCGTGTTTCTGCTCATTGTGTAATATACAAACAAATTATGGTCTACAACCATCACTCAATGTAAGCATTGAAGAAAGTGTGGCTATGATTCTACAAATATGTGGGCTTAATGAAGTTCAAAGAGATGTTGGTTTAACATTTGGCCGAAATCAAGAAACGGTGCAGAGAAAATTTATGGAAGTTCTTACGGCGACATAACTGTTGGCATGTGATTATATTAGAACTCCAACAAGACAAAAGCTAATGCGAATTCCTGAAATACTTTACTCATATCGAAGATATTATCCTTTTTCAGTGGATTCGTTGGAGCTATGGATAGGACTCATGTATGCGTAAAAGTGGAGTCTGAGTTACAAGGAATGTATTGGAATCGACATGATAATGCATCTTTGAACATCATGGAAATATGTGATTTGAATATGTTATTCACATATATATGAAATGGAGTACCAGGATCTTGTCATGATACTATTGTTTTCGCAGTGGCACAACAAAACGATTATGAGTTCCCTTTGCCTCCACAAGATAAATATTAATTCAGGCTATCCGAACAAGCAAGAATTTTTAGCTCCATATAGATCATCACGAAATGGAGTTGTGAGATATCATATGTTTCAATTCAATTCTGGTCCTGCTCCTAGAAGTAAACAACAACTATTCAATCGACATCATGCGTCTTTGCGTTCTGTTATTGAGAGAACATTTGGAGTTTGGAAGAAAAAATGGAGAATTCTATTTGATTTTTCAAGATACAAAATACACGTGTAAAAAAAGAGTGGTAATGGCTATAATGGGATTGCATAATTTTATCAAAGTATCAAACTACGCCGATGAAGATTTTGCAAATACTATGCCATATACAGAATTGAGCAATAGAGATTTAGAATATGACGTTGTTGAAACAAAAGAACTTCATGGAACACACAGAGAACAAATGACAAAAATAAGAGATAATAGTGCAAACATGTTGTGGGGAAATCAAAATAGTCGATAACGTTTTATTGTATTTTCTTAATTTTTTTTATTTTATATATGTAATTTAAATGTTTTAATTCATATGAATTTTGGTATTTAATATTTTTAAATAATAAAAAATACACCAACAAGATCATTAAATAGAAAATTTCAACTTCAAATTATATTGATTGTATTTAAATATAAGTTTAAATTTTTGTTTAAAAAAAACTCATTGTTCAATTTCGCAAACTATATATTTTCACCAATCAACACAATTCCGCACCACAAATTTTATGAAAAGCGCACTTGTCCCACAAAACGCACGAACCACAGTTAAACCATCCTACACTTTAATTATGCACCGCTTATATTACTAAATCCGTTGTCACCATTTGATTATTTTTATATTTTAATAATTTATATATAATTTGTTATATAATAAAAACAAATTTATATCAATAACACTATATTTTAAGAAAATAAGTTATGTTTGTATTAGATTGTTATCTTAAAAATATATTTTATATTATAAAATATCATAAAATTTGTTGATTAATTTGTAACTTTTCCATTATTTAGATAATTCAAATATAATTGTTTAATAAGATATATTTATATGAATAATATTATATTTTCTAAAATAAGATAATTCTTATGTATTAAATTATTATTTTGAAAATATATTTTTATTATAGAATTTCAAAATTAAGGTAGAAAAATAATTCTAATTAAATTAAAATAAATGATTTATTAACTTCTCCAGGATTTTAGGTAATTTTGCTTATTTCATGTTTTTAATAATTTTATAAATAATGTATAGTTTAATAAAAATGATTTTATATTAATATTATTATATGTTTAAAAAATAAGATAATTCTTATGTATTATATTGTTATTTTGAAAATATATTTTTCATAGAAAAAAAATTAATATATAAAAAGTATAATTAAATATAAATCAAACAAATAATTTGTATAAATATATTTTGATAAATTTATTAAAGTACAACTTTTTAATATAATTTTTCACTGTTATCTTAATCACATTTACATTTGATTATAGGGCTGGGACTTTTTTCCGGGATCCGGATCCGATTTGAGATTCGATCCGGATCCGCTCTAAAATTAGTATATATTATTATTAATTATATCTGATACATTAATATTTATATATAAAATAAGTTTACCATATCTATTTTAATATTACATGTCATATATATTCATAAATTATGCATAAATATTTAATTTATGCATTATTTTTTAAAAAAATTAATTATTTTTACAGATACGAATCCAAATCCGGATAGCCGCGGATATCACAATATCTAAACGGATATTCGAAACCCAGATATCCGATGAAAAACACGAATCTGGATACAGATATTAAAATCGCGGTTCCGACGAATATGGATCCAGATACTTCAAATTTCCCGGATATCCGGATACGTCGAATATGGATCCGGATACTTCAAATTTCCCGGATATCCGGATCCGTCCGAGCCCTTAGTAAGTATGTAAGTAGACATTTATAACTGTATGATTAACTAATTTAGATTTAGAGTTTAGATTTGAAGAGTGAAATTTTGGAGGATAAGGTTTACAATTTTAATAAAAATATAAATAAAAACGTAAAAATAAAATAAAAAATTTTGAAATAGTTTCAACAAGAAATTTTGAAAAGCAAGAAATTTCGAAAAAAAATCAAAAAAAAATTGCAAAATTTTTGAATTTAAAAGTTATAATTTGAAATTTTTTTATAAAATTATTTTTTAGCTTTTATTTATTTAAATGATTATTTATATTTATAAATCACATCTATAAATATTTTTTATCTCCTTAATGAAATCTCACACTTAGATATTTTTAAAAATATCCATTTAGAGAAAATAAACATGAATAGAAGAGAAAATTAAAAAATTTCCCATATATTTTTTTCAAATATTTTGATATGTGAATGTTGTTATTTATATTTAAACATCATTATTATGTTTTTTTTAAATCAATAAAATATAAACTAATAAGTATTTGTAAAAAAATTATATCCGCATATGTGAGCATAACATCTAGTTATTATATTATTATAAAATAAATTTATCAAGAATCTTGCAATTAGGATGCTCTAGAGCATTCATAAACTGCAAGCTTGTTGATTAAATAAATATTTCGTAAACAAATAATAAGAAAAGAAAGTCTTTGCTCTCTTTTGAAAAAAAAAAATTACCAAGAGAAAGTCAAGAAAACGCGCGGCTTCCGCGCGTCAGGAAACTTGTCATTTGTTATAAAATATCTCTCTTCCGGTCCGGAACAAAACATAACTCGCCGCTTCAAAGTAATGAAAGATATTCGAGTTGTTTCGACATGGACCGATTTGACTCGTGACTCAGCTCTTTACTTGCTCTACACGTTTGCCGCCATCAAAGTCTCCAAATTCATCTACCGTTGCTTCCAATCATCTGAAATGTCATCATTTTCTATGGAAACTCACCCAGAAGCTCTCAGACGTGAACGGATTCTCTCCAGCAAACTCTACTTCAACGTCCCTGAATCAAAGGTATTCTACATATCTTGTGTGTGTGCCTAATACAGTTCAAGATTCTGACTATCGAGTTTGTTTGTTTGTTTGATCAACAGGTTTCGATCATCTATTCATCAGCATATGACATCTCCTTCTTGGGGATTGAGAAGTTGTGAGTATATACTCAAATCTTTGACCAATTCTTAAAAAACTTGTTGAATATGTGTCTCTTGAAGGATTCTTGTAAATTAGAAACATTCTTGATATGTGCAAGGCATCCATTTGATTCAACCAAGTGGCGTAGAGTTTGCAAGTTTCTTGTTTCTGATGGGTTCTTGGAGGAGAAATCAATCGTTGAGCCTCTAGAAGCTTCAAACAGTGATCTTCTAGTGGTATTTGACTTCCCTCTTTAGATGTGTGAACTACTAACTATACCTAGTGTTGATCAAATCTTATTTGCTTGGAATGGTTTTGTAATCTTTTGCTTATGATTATTGTGTATCATCAGGTACATTCGTTGGACTACTTAAACAGTTTGAAAAGCAGTGCAACTGTTGCTAGGATAACCGAGGTGATGTCTAATTTTTTTTAGGTTCATTTAATAATCTAAATGATTTTTTGTTGAACTAAACTTTCTGTGTATGATAATGTTATTAGGTTCCACCAGTTGCATTATTCCCAAACTTTCTTGTGCAGCAGAAAGTTCTTAGCCCGTTCAGAAAGCAGGTAGAGAATAATCATTTGATTGTGTTTCAAGAACTCTAGTGATTACAACAAAGTTGGTGAGTGATTGATAGGTTGGTGGGACGATTCTGGCAGCTAAACTAGCAGTAGAACGTGGATGGGCAATAAACGTAGGAGGAGGTTTTCATCATTGTACTGCTGAAAGAGGAGGCGGGTTTTGTGCTTTTGCTGATATTTCTCTTTGTATTCACTTTGCATTTCTTCGTCTTAGCATATCCAGGTAACTACATCTTCTCTAATGGTTTCCTTTTCTGAAAAATGTATTAACTGTTTTATGTTCTTGAACTTGTTAAACTCCAACAGGGTTATGATAATAGATCTTGATGCTCATCAAGGGAATGGCCATGAAACAGATCTTGGCGATGATAGTATGAGAAAATTTAATTTGTATTTATGATTCTTTGCTCTACCTATGTTTGGTATGTTGATAACAGTTTTTTTTTGTCTGCAGGTCGTGTTTACATTCTAGATATGTACAATCCTGAGATATACCCTTACGTAAGCTAACATTCTTGGAGCTTTGCCATTTGGAACTTTTAGTGAAGTTCTGTCTTATGGCTTTTGTGTTTGCATTCAACACTGTTTTAATCTTTTTGCTTACAGGATTATACGGCTAGAAGATTTATCGATCAGAAGGTTGAGGTGAAGGTAAGCAAATCATATCTTCTCTCTGTTGTATCAGCTGGAACTAATTTGAATTCATTTTGTGTCACATTTTTGTCGACAGAGCGGGACCACCACTGATGAGTACCTGAGGAAACTAGACAAAGCGCTTGAGGTATGCATTCTCTTGTTTCTTGGCGAAGATAGATTAGGATCATAGTAGTAGTAGTAAACTATGTGGTCTTTTTGGGACTTTAAGAGAAAAGCTAATGATGGTTGATATAACTCCTCAGGTTGCTTTCAGAAACTTCCAACCAGAGTTGGTAGTTTACAATGCTGGGACTGATATCTTAGACGGAGACCCTCTGGGGCTTCTAAAGGCATGCTTAAATTAAATACTAAAGATTATGTGGCCTTTCTATATGATCAGAATGTCTCTAACTTGGTGTGACTCTGGTGCAGATAAGCCCTGATGGCATAACAAGTAGAGACGAGAAAGTCTTCAGATTTTCAAGGGAGAGAGAGATTCCTGTTGTGATGCTGACTTCAGGTGATAATAAACAAACATAACCAAACAGCCTATGAGTAAAATTAGTAATGTGTTTTGTAACGGATAAGATCATTCTATGTGCAGGCGGGTACATGAAGTCCAACGCCAGAGTTATTGCGGATTCCATAGAGAATCTCTCACGTCAAGGGCTAATCAAGACACAACTGGACTCAGCTTCCACGTGAACTGTTCCCAAAAGCTTTTTATGCGTGCGTGCGTGTGAATATATAACAGTCTTGTCTTGTGTGTAATGTTTTCTTTTCCTTCCAAATACAACCATTAGTGATGATCTTTGCAGCTTTGTTAGGGGTGAAAAATAGGCCTGGGCATTTTCCGGTTCGGATCGGGTTGGGTTATGTCGGGTCCGGATCCTTCGGGTCTTAGATATTTAGACCCAATAGGGTAATTAGACTTTGTCGGTTCGGGTTCGGTTCGGGTCCTAACGGGTCCAGGTCGGTTCGGGTCTTATATAGTTAGACCCAATGGGGATAATTAAAATTTATTGGTTCGGATTCGGTTCGAATTCGGTTCGGTTTCGGGTCGGGTTCGGTTCGGGTCCTACCGGGTATGGCCCAAAAAAATACCTAAAACACACAAAAAATACTGGAAAATATTTAAATATCCAAGAAATACCCAAAATTTTACACAAAACCTCCCCCGAATACATAAAAATATCCAAAACTTTATCTGATTATTCGAATTATATTTTAAAAAACCTAAAATTTTACTTAAAACCCGTAATTATATCCGAAAACCCAAATCCAAGATATAAAATAATACTCATAATACCATAAAAATACTAAAACATATATATATACATAATATATATTAGATGTTTTGGATATTTCGGATACCCCATCGGGTCTCAGATTCGGGTCGGTTCGGGTCCAAGACCCGCGGGTCCTCCACATCAAGACCCAATAGGGTAAAATGATCGGTTCGGTTCCTACCCGAACCGCATATTTTCGGGCCAGTTCCGAGTCGGGTCTTCGGGTCCGGGTAAAATGCCCAGGCCTAGTGAAAAAACACAATGAATCATGTTGGAAGATAGTGACTTTTAACTTCTGATATATAAACAAAAGAATTTGACGATATGCGTTTTGAAAACCAAAATAACTAATAGATAAACATTCCTTTTCCTCGTCTCTATAGGAGGAACGTAGCACTATGTTTATAGCTAAAACCAAAATAATCCTCCGTCTCTTCTCCCCAAGAACATATACCCTTCTCATTATTTTCCTCATATCTTAATCAAATGTAATGTATATAGTCCAATTTAGTGAACTACTTACCCACATCACCTCATTAGAGATGGTGTGCTAGTAGTTCAATAGATTGGACTATATACATTACACTTGACCAAGACATTTCTCCAACAAGAAAAAAAACCAACACAACCAACTATTCATCATAGGTTTCTTCTAGATAAGATGGTTCCTGAAGGCATGGAACATCTTTGGGGAGAGAAGCAGTAGGAAGGCTAGAACTGAGCCGAAGAACATCTTCATAACGTAACTGAAAGCGTCTGATGACTCGCTATCTTCTGAGACACCCCCCGCACTTGGGTTCACCATTGCTTCTGCTGAAGGAAGTGATTCTATTACTGCATCAGCCAAGTCGGTGATGAAGGATGGCGTCAGACCAAGGGCTGGGACACGCCCCCAGTTTTCTATCCCTGACTCCAAAGCTAGTTCCCTGTACTCCATGTCTATCTCTTCAAGAGTCTCAATGTGCTCACTCACAAAACTGAAATCCAAAGACAAGAAAACCAATCAATAACCAACAATGTTTTTGATGATGAGGACTTGGGAAGTATCTTATATGTTCTCTTACCTTACTGGAACGGCTAGTAGACTCTTGACACCTTTCTTACCAAGGTCGACAAGAACCTCATCAGTGTACGGCTTCAGCCATTGAACAGGCCCAACACGACTCTGCAAAGATCAATTACAGGCCTTGAGATAAAGAGGTAATGTACAAGCAGCTTTTATGACGGATAACAATAACTAAACCTGGTATGCTAATATATGGTTGTTTTGAACTCCTCGGGACTTTAGCTCTTCCATTATCAAGTCAATGCACTCTTCCATCTGTTTCTGGTATGGATCTCCAGAGTTCTCTACATAGCTAACTGGAACACCATGGGCACTGAAGAATACCATAACCTAAAACATACAGACAAAGACACCAATTAAACCATAGTTCCGAGTATAAATGTATAACATTAGAGGAGAAATATAACTATACCTCCTTAGGATCAGAGAAATTTTGAAGCTCCTTCTCAATGAGGTCAGCCATGGAATTGACATAGCCTCGCCTTTGGTACCAGGATTCTATAATAGCAACTGGCACCCTAGCCAGGTAGGGATCTTTCCTGAATAAGTCTTGGAGAACGCGGACGCTTGATCCCGTTGTGGAGATAGAATACTGAGGGTATAATGGTAGCACAACAAGTCTTGTAATCTTGTCCTTCTTAATCTGGTTACAAACATAATTAACTCGTTATGATACACATAAATCTAAGAGCAAAAGAAAATGTAAAAATCACCTGTTGAACAGCCTCCTCAGTGAATGGAAACCAATACCGCATCCCAACATAGACATCAGCAGAAACATTCTTAGCTTGCAAAGCCATCTGAATAGCATCTGCTTGCTCATCAGTTATCTTACGCAAAGGAGAACCACCACCAATAGCAGCATACCCTTCTTTCGACTTCGGAGCACGTACTACAGATATAAACTTTGCTATAGTCCCTTGCAGAAACTGAAACGGTCTAGGAAGCCGTATAATATCCTACAACAAACAAACAAGCCACTGTTCATCAAAACCACCACTCCAAATTACTCTACAGTGTCCTAAAAATCGTTTAAAGATTAGTGTAAACTCAAAAGAGAGAGCTAAGCATATAGATTCTCTCACCGGGTCAGCAAAGAGATTATACAAAAAGGGCTGCACATCATTAAGCGTTTCAGGACCACCTAGATTCAAAAGCAAGACACCGATCTTATCCTCAGCAACATTAGCACAAGTGTCATCGTAAGAGAGGTCTCCAGCAACAGGGTGTGTTTGCTCGAACACGTTCGTCTTGAAACTCAATTCACGCTGTTGGGTGATCGCGAGAGACGCTTTAGGTTTCAAAGGTGTCTCTTTTGAATGGAATCGAGGTAAAGACAGAGACTTTCTGTCGGAACATGACCTGTAACAAGACGAAATCGTCATCGCTGTAATAATTAAATCGAGGCAAGAAAAAAAAAAAAAATTTAATTGAGGATGTTTTAACCTTGGAGATCTGTAAGCGTTAGGGTTTAGAAGAGGACGGAACCCAGATGATAACGCTGTCGCTTCCATACAGTTTCTAATCGATTAGAAAATTGGAAGAGAGAGAGATGAAATTGGATTGTGGGTTTAGGGTTTTGATTAGGCCTTTTTAAAAAGGGGAGATCTTTTTTTGAGTTTGGGGGAAGATGCGATGAAGGTTGGTTAGGTGAATGCCAAAGATCAAGACTTTTCCATTGGAGCAGATAAACGTGTTCTTTAGTCAAAGTTTAGACGTTTCCCGTTTTTGGCCCCAGAAGTACAAAACAGTTGGAAACGACGGCGTTTTGGTAAACAAAGTGGTTGTTGTTAAGTTAGTCTTTCGCTTTTGAATAGAACCCAAACCGAACCGGTACATAACCGACATCTATTTGATTTTTTGCATTCACACGTATAGTTTACTTGGTTGTGGCGGTTGGGCTACGTGGCTGAACAACGGCCACTTGACTAAGTCAAAAGTCAACAAAATTTGATACTGAGAGATGCTACGAATATAGATGACCAAGTTGTGAACCTTTCCAAAAATGGATCTAGAAGTAGAACATTCCGATTTGATGTCTTTCACACAAAGCATCGTCAAAGCTCACAAAGGTTAGTATGCCAAACGGGTGTTCTCTTCGTATAAGTTGACCATATTATTCATATTAACTCAAAATTCCTTGACAGGGTGATTATTGTAGAGTGGTAAGGAGCACCAACAAATTTTAGCTTCAATCTATTTGATTTCCGAAATTAAATCACAATTATTCATGATTATTTCCATAGGTCTGGAAAATTCTTTAGATTAATCCAAAAAAAAACTCAAAGTTCCTTAATAATTCATATGTATTATAAGGTGTTGTTTTTCATATGAAACAATGATATATCATCAACAAGCAATCACAAAAGCAACAACATCAAAATGCAGGATCATAAACATCTGGTTTGGCAAACATTACATGTCATCGCAAAAAGAAAAAACATTACATGTTACTGGGAATTTACGGTCACGTGAAATTTAATGTGATATACAATGTAGCATATATGGTGTGGAAGAGGAATTAATTAATTATTTTATATTTGAATATTCACCAATAATCTAAATATGGATTATGTCAAAGATTTTTTTTAACATTGGAATTGGCTTCCATATGGAAGGACATGCCTTCATTTCCCATACAAATTAATTTCAAAGATACAAATAGTTCTTCCTTAATTTCACAATATTCGCAGAGAAAACAACACAATAACTGATAAGCTTATATGAGATGATCGGAGTCTACCTTCTGTTATGGACTATGTTGATTTGGTTTTACCGCATTGGTTTGGTCAATCTGTGTCTAGTTTGTCATATAGTAGATAATATTGTTGGCAAAATAAAAATAGTGATATATTATAAGGTGTTTAATTAAGTATCTTAATTATCAAAATATTCGGTAGCACACACATCAAGCATGTTCTTATAAAGGGTATGATATCCATGACCATAAGTAGAATGCCATGTTAAACGGCATAATTTGCCCTTTCAAGCAAGACTCGGGCAACATGATTGTATATGCAATATTATATACAAAGTCAACGTATATACATCTATCTATAATTGATTTCATTGAAGTTTAGAACTCAACTTGGTGCCACGCAGACAGTGATAATGCTATCTTTTGGAACTCAATATACTATATAATACGGTTATTAAATTGCCGTCAGAAAACACTATCAATAAAATAATACAGTATCAATCTTTAATAGCTAAGCTCCAGCTTCAAGAAAAGGCTTTTCATAAAAGTTCTGAACGGGTCGTTAATCCAGCTTACCAAAAAGAATATTTTTCAGATATATTTTCTTCATCCAAGTAAGTTTGTGTGCGACTTTGGTGAAAGTATGGGTCATTGCTTCTCGTTACCTTCTTCCTCCTCGGAGATTCACGAGGAAAATGAATACGATGGAAATGCGGTGGTGTGTTATGGCGATGAGTTCGGTTTAGATCACCACCGTCCGCTTCACCGACCAGGTTCTATCTGCTCTGTTCAAGGAACCAAAGCGCTTAACCAAGATAATGCTATTCTTTATCTGGTAGTTCATCTTTGATATTTTTGCTATTTTCTTGTTTCGTCTTTCCTTCTCTTTTTATAAATCATTATCTAGATGACCACCAACAACGTTTTGGGGTAGATGATGCATAACCAATATTTCATTCTCTTTATAATTCATTCATAAGTAAAAAGTAATTTTTGGATGCCTAATTTGTTGGTGGTTTATGGGTTGTATAATAAATATATACCATGTCCAGATTGAGATGATTGCATTTCATAGCAATAAGCAAGATCTATGATCTGCCTTGACTATTTCAAGATCATAACAAATTTATGTGTTTGTATTTACATGCGAGAATACTCGTAACTTTTACTTTCATCTATACTATTAAAAGAGAAGGAGTCTAAATAAATCTACTTAAAAAAGTTGTTTGAACCCTTTCATTATACTAACATTTTTTTTATCTTTCCTTATATTTCTCTAACAATATTGTACAATAACATA